TGCACCCATCGGAGGCTGGCAGATGGCGGGATTAAGAGGCAGCAGGGCTCCTGTCCTGTGAGAGCTGCTGGGGCGCACAGTTGGAGGCACCCTGCTCCCCAGCCTGGCTCCCGGCTGGGCTACGGGTTGGCCTGGGGCCAGGAAATGCTCCGGCAGAGGCTGCCAGCTGAGGACCCCCTGCCTGGGCTGAAACAACGGTGTTACCTGCCCACAAGTTTTCTTGTCATTGAATGATGGAGGAAGCAGATGTGGTGGGGGCGGGTGTCAGAGGTGTCCCAAGAAAGGTGCTCCCCCTCTGCACTGGATCACCAAGAGCTTTGCTTTCTCGCCCCTGGCTGGCAGTGGGTCGGGGCTCCCAGGTCTCGGTGCCTGCGTGCTGGGGCTGGAGGGTTGGGAGCAGGTGAGCTGCCCTGCCCTGCCCAAACAATGCTCCTCTGTGCAAGGCTTGGTGAGTGCCTTCATGATTTATTTGAAATTCAAATCCATGCCTGGATCCAGTGGCTGAGGTGAAGGCTGCCAGGAGCCAGGCCAGCACAGGGAAGGAGGGAGGGAAGCAAGCAGGGTTCCCTCTCTGTGCCAACCTGGCCCCTGTCCTTGAGCCGTGCACCCCATGGAGGTGCAGGGCCTGGGCACCCTTAGGCTTTTGCAGCTGGCTGGGTCTGGCTTCAGGTGACTCTGGACTGGGCTGGGTTAGTATCCCAGAAGCCAGAGTGTGGTGCTTGATGTTCGCTGACTGGCTCCAGAGGGAGAAACGGCCTTGCTCACCCCAGCTCCATGGGCATGTTGCCTGCATTGACCTCCACGGCTGACAGCAGGGGCGGTGGCGGGGGTGCCATTGGGGCCCCTGGGGTCTGCAAACACCAAGGCCATGGGGAGAGAGTGCGGGGTGTAGGGATGGCACTGGGGCAGCAAAGCCATGGAGGGGGAGGAATGGTACCGTGTGCTGGGCAGCCAGGTATGTTTATGGGGAGGGCTTGCTGATCACTCTCTTTGTGTCCCTAGACTCCACCTGCCCCACAAAGGTGTCTTCCCTTGTCTCCAGGGCAGCCAGCCCGGCCGATGGGGATCCAGGAGGATAAAGCACCGGCCGGCGGTGTATAAGTACGTGGTATTTTTATTGGCTTGCGCAGGCTGTGCAGCCCCAGCAGCTGCCGCAACGTTTTTGCTCAAGAGCTGTCCTCCTTCCCACGCACATCTCGCCCCACATCACCCTCTTGTGTCTGCACTAACCAAGGCCGCCGAAAGCCAGGCTGCCTGCCTGCTGCCTGCGTCACTAACCTTGTTCTAGAGGGCAGCTCACTGCTGGACTTTCATCAGCTAACATGGCAGCCCCTGTTTTGCTGGTGTTTGGGGTGAAGGTCAGTTGAGGTCGTCCTCCTCCGTGTCCTAGCCATTGTGGGCATGAGGGCCATAGCACCTAGACCATGTGCATGCTGAGTGCTTTGAAGGCCTAAGGTGACAATGCTGAGAGGGTGGTTTAGCCAAATGGCCGAAGCAGCCTGAAGTTCAGTAGGGCTGGTGCTGCCAGACATGGTGGGAAACCAGGGCCTGGGAGGCAGTCATGATTGCTGGGACGTAGTTGCTGTGTGGGAGCCAATACCTGGGCTAGCCATGGTGTTAGGGGCTCACAAGTGCTCCCAAGAAGAAGCGGAGGTAAGGACAAGTCCCAGGCCCTGTTCCCAGGCTCCCTACGCCATGGTCTTTGTGGAGCAGCACATCAGCCTGGTCAGGATTTGGCTGCGCTTGTGTGAGTGCCGTGCAGAAGTGCTGTGGTGGAAGACCTCCACTGAGGACCACCGCTTCCTGGCTTCTGCTAAATGGTTGCTCTGGGTATCGCCCCACCTGCACAGCGTCCTGGGCCTTTCCAAGTTTCCCGCTTGGTCTCCAGCTTGCCCGACCTTGTAGACACAAAAGTCTCGTGTCCCAGTGCTGCTTGGGAGTCTAGTGGTTGGAATTGTTAGGGGCAAGAGGCAGCGTGGCTGGTTAGTGCTCTGCAGAGGTGAGGCAGACGGGGTTTGGAGAGGTCCAAAGTGCCATGGATTGAACACCAGA